GGATTATATAAATATATATATATATACACACACATATACATATATTTTATATATACATATATTATACATATAAGAAAATAAGAAAATAAAAAAAATAAAAAAAACACTGTTCCGGGCCGGGCCGACGACCGCCGGGTTCCGGCCCGGCCGGGCCCGGGCCGGCCGGCTTTTTGGACACCCCTAGGTATGGTACGGACAACCGGCACAAGAATTCATAAGATGTCACAGCTCAACCACTGAACCTCTTTAAGGCCTGTATTTCAGAGGGAAAATCTAGGGAGAACACCTCAGATAGAGCTTTTCGAAGTTCTTGCAGGCACCAATATTCACTCTAGATAAGAATGATAGATAACATAAATCTGAATCACGAAAGTAGAAACAATCATAGTTATCAGCTGAACCTCAGTCGATTACCACGTACCTCATGGAAGATGAATGCAGTTCTCAGGGGCCATTAATCCAATTTTACAAGTTTATAAATATTTTTAGGCTGCACTGCAGACATCCAATGACAGAGAAGCAAATCGTAATTTACATCCCCAAACCACAGCAGGAAGCACAGCTCCTAAAACATCATTATTAGAAGACTGGGACTAAAAAAGGGTGGCCCAATGCACGAGGCTCCCACCATTGTGGGCTCTGGAGAAGGTCAGATGTACACGACCTTACCCTCACACACACGCAGAGAAGCTGTTTCTGAGACTTGAACCCGTGACCTCCAGGTCATAAGGCAGCAATGTTACCATTGCATGAGGCTCCCCCTCAAGACTGAGACTATATAATGTAATTATTATTTCTCATAATAAAGATCAGCTTCAAAGAAGAAGAAACAAAGCTTGATGTCGTAGTAGTGGAAGAAAAGCAAGTTTCTTATTTTGGTAATTTAATGAATGAAGGGGAGCTCGCCATTCAAGTTTATTAGGTGCTAATACTATTCAAGTTTTAGTATAAGCAGAAATGTGATGCGTACTAATTTATTAGTTTTCTTGTGAAGAACCTCAATGAAATGGCACCTTTGGATTCTGAATTAGGCTATAAAGGTAGAAAACAGAAGTGGTAACCTCTGTAGAAATTGTAGCCAGAAAAGTGATGTATTAAAACCTTCGAACTGTAAGATATCATTGTTCAAAATGGTTATTATTATATAAATTCATAATTGCATCACTTCAATCAAATTATGATGGAGGAAGTTGAGCTAATGCGTTGAGGCCTAGCACAGTGGTTACAGTATATGGGGTTGGGTCATGGAATGTCCTAGGTTCTAGACCAAGATGTGACTTCCATTCAAAATAATAATAATATAAACACTGAGTTGAGCTAGTTATTACTTAGATGAAAATGATGACATGTTCATACCAATGTCTATTGGTAATGACATGCCCTCATATGCAGTTTTTTGCAGGTTGTGGGGTCATATATTTCCATATAGTACATAGAGAAGGTGAAACACTATTTGGACAATGAAATTTAATGCAAGATCCTTAGATAAGAATGGTAACATGCCATTTACAATAGACTACTATTCACTATCCACACATCCACAATAGAGATAAAAGAAAGAACAAACTTAAAGATGCTTACCCTACTAAGGTCCTGATCAATATTGGCAGCTGTGACATGCGTGCGTGTGATTTGCTCTCCCTGCTGATGCAAGTTAACAAGAGTCCTAGACGCATCCTCTCTAATTTCTTCAGCAATTCTCAAGCAACCATTTACCTTCTGTGTAGTCTCATCGGCCTTATATACAGCATAGCCTTCTAGTTCTTGGACTGATTGATTCTCCAAACCCCCGGAGTCACGGAAATCATTCTTATACTTGTTTCTAGCAGCAGAATAAGAAGACGATGGAACCCAATTTCCTTGATTTCCTTGGCTTAATACGGGTGCAGAAGAAGTCCTTGGAGGTTTAGAATTCAGCTTGGTTTCTGAATCTGAATCAAAAGGGTTGGATCTAGAAAGACTAGGTTCACCTGAGCGTTGCGTATAAACCTTAGACGAAGTCATTTTGGACATGCCGATAGCAATACGAAGCTAATGAGACTGATTAATATATAAAAGCTGATGCCGAGCTCTGAACTGTGATACAATTATGGTACCTGATAATTTTATCAGGAACTGTCATGAGTACTCACGACTTTTATAAGAAAATCAACTAACGAATTAGGTAGACATGAAAAGATATCAAAGAAGCACTGGAGCAAATTAAAGACCAAATTGGAGAGGCATAAAAGATTAAACCAGAATGTCAGAGAATATAACGGAAATTCGAACACATAACATTGCAGTTATTAAGAAAACCTCTTACAGTTTAGCGACGGGCAGGGAATGCAATTCATAAACTATAGATTGCAAAATATTAAGAGCGGCATAAGGAAGTGCCATGGACGATGAAAAATTAACTACTATCAAGACTTTACCAAGTAACATAAAGTTTGTAAGAATCTTATAAACACAGACTAGATGAAATTGTCCACAGACTCCATAAAGTAATGATCATACATAAATCAGTAATGGAAAATTGTGCTCAAAATGTAGACAGCAGTTATACAAAGAATAGAAGACATGGAAAAAAAATAATAAATCAAATCAAATAAAATAACAGTAACGTAAAAAGCTAATTAAAGAGTTGAATATTCTCGAAGCAAGCAAAATTATGAAAAGCATAGAGATAAAGTAATAACCATAGTGCGCAAAGGAGGGGCAAATTGGGAGAAACCCCACAGCCCTCAAACATCGCAATTGGTAGATAAAAGAATCAGATCAAATAAATGTTCAAGAAATTATTAAAATAAAATAACTTGAATAGAAGACTAAAAACAAACCAAAAACTATTAGGGGGCAGAATTTACAAGGCTGACAAAAGTGAAACAATTGCAAAAAAGATGAGAAACATGAAGAAAATAGCTTTCTTGCAACTTTTCTTGAAGATTCATGACTAGATGCTATAGAAAAACTTTATCAAGCATCAGAAGCCAACAAATTCAGCAGCCCAATCATCTAAATAAACTTCAAGACCTAAAAGGAAACGATAAAACTACAAGCCCTAACTCATAGGAGGCCAACTATTCCAAGAAAGGTATAGTTCCAAGCAAAAAAAGCAGACCCCAATACATAAAACCCATCAAGATCCAATTTTGAACTGAAAAGTCAAACAAGGACCAAAAATTACCAGATGGGTAATCTCTCCAAGAACCAAAACAGTTGGGAACTGATGAAGTAAAACTCCCCCAACTTTGCCAAAACAAGAGCAAGATCGAAACAGCAAGCCCTAGCCCAAAAACAAGAGCGCTTGATGAAAATAATCGATACCCATTTGGGATTAATAGATAAAGTAGTTAGTTACCCGAGATTGAAAGTTTCAGAGAGAGGTCCTTCTCTCTGTCACGCGTAGATCACGACGTTGAAGCGGGCTAATGGAGAGAAGGTGATAGGAAATTAGAAAGAGGACTTTTTTTATTTGTGTAAAGTTGAATCTTTTGCAGTTCTAATTAATTCGAACAGGTCTGCAGAAAAAGATAAAAAAGCGGCGGAGGGAAGATTAGACCGTTGAGCTTATATGGGTCTTTTGTAATTTCATAGAAGGTTCAGTTGGGAAAATTGGAATTACTTGCTGGAGGGGGTTAGAAGGCCAAATTGGGTCTTTGTAATTGCTGTTTTCTAGTTCTATAGTTGGTGTGGACTTTTTGATGGTGATTGAGTTGAGAAAAGTCTATATGAAAGACTTGACCTCCAAATGGAGGGGTTTTGGGTGATGGATAGGTGGGAAGTTAAGATTTGGAAGAATAAATTAAAATAGACTTTTTCCCCCATAGAAAAAAGAGCAGTGCCAGATGGATTCAAGGCTATGTTTGGGAGTTCATTAACGAAGAGGATCATGTTTGAGAGTTTAGCGAAGGGAATGAAGATGAATCATTTCTTAGCCTTTGGATTTATATCATGATGGTGCACAACAATTCACCTCCTCTACACCCCAATTTGGGAATTAACCAAATTATATAGAATGGAGGTTGGAGGATGTAAATTTTGTTACTTTCCTTTCTCTATATTCCCTTTCAAAAAAAAACTCAGAAGCAAGGTTGAGCTATTTACCTTCATTCCCCTACCCCTTATTTACTCACATCCAAATAAAGCACAAAAGAGAGAAGATGTGGCGATTATAATTGGTGTCACTAATAACATCTTAATTAGTGGATATTCAAAGGAAAATCAAATGACTTTAAAAAGAACTCACCATATCGTGACACGCCATCCTTTTGTCTCACAAAACCTTTTGAAACGTGGACAAAGATCTCAATTGTATATTTTCAATTTTACTTTATCTTAACCGTTAACCTAAAATCAATCTTTATCATTCAATACAATTAACTATGAGAAATTATGATGCACAATTATTTTATATATCACCAAATTTAATCGTGCCTTATTTTTAGTTACCAAGATTTAGAGATTTTTTCGATAGGTTTGAATTTGAATTTTATATAGATTTTAGTTTTTAAAAAGTATCATATCACAATTAAAAAAATTCTAAAATGGTTAGAATTTGGAAATCCTTAGAATATCGCTTAACAAATGTATCACTTTCGTGGGTTTATTTACAAAAAATGTAAGAGAACATTTATCACAAAAATTCTCTCTTTTAACTATTCTCTCTTCTGCCTCACAAATAGGCAACCACCTCCCCCCTCCCTCTCCCAAATCCTCTCCTCTCATTTGTTGCCTCGAAGGTAGGAGTTCATCAAGTTTCTCTTGGTCTGCCCTATCTTATAAAAGCAGTCGATACTTCCTAGTCGTCAATCATCGTGTCACTACACAATACCCTCCTGGGGTCAATGCTGGTTCATAGTGATGAGTTGGTTGTTGATAATACCGATGCTGATGGTGGGTGCTTTCATAATATTTATAAATAGGAGTATCTTGCCTTTCATTTCTTTGAGGCATGACACGTTGTATATGATGTCCGAAGAAGTATCGTCCTCCAGTCTCATAATGAGTTGGTTCTACATAATGATACCGCGGAGATTGTCTTCGTTCCCAGTGATCTTCATTTGACTCAGACATATGGCCCCAAGAAGATAAGGTTTGAATCATATTTAGATTCATAACTTATCGGTTTACCTAAATAGAATTGATAGTGCTAAGAACGTGGAGCATCATTTTGGCGAGAGCCTCACTCTAGGCCTGCCTAGGAGAATAGCAGAGGGTATTGTAGAACATTGCTCTGACGTCTCCCTTGAGGGGTCATTAACTTGAACTTGTTGCACTGGGGCAGGCACTTCACTACTTGGTGTTTTTAAAAAACTTTCCTTCTTGATAGGGCTTTTTGGTTGTTGAGGGTTGGGCAATTGAAGATGAGGGAATTCCCTATCATAAGAACTTGCTCCAAATGCCTCCATGTCTCGAGAGCATCCAATATGAGGGGAATGCGTTTGAGCAACATAGCGCCTCATTTCAACTGAAGAGAAATCTATGCTTTTTTTCATCACTCCCTTACCCTTTCCAACATGAAAAGTGGGTGGTTTTTCCTTATTGTTAAGGGTATCTTAGCTAGGATCCTCACGGATAACAATACTGGGGGCACTCCTCATGTTTGCATTAAGCTTTTGAGTATTAGGAATAGGAACTTGGACTGAGGGTGATTTCATCATCCTTTTCTTCATAGTCTTAGTCATTACAGGAGTAAAGCCATCATCGTCTACTTCAACATGCATTGGGTGAATAGGATATTCAGGTTGCGGGACAGGGCATAGTGTTTATCACGGAATGTTCTCCGCTGTAGCTATCTCCACGGGAACCTGCACCAATTTGCACGGAAGCAAAATTTTAAATTGTGCCATTAACATTTGAGTTGTGTTGGATCTAATATTTGAGATCTAAATCATAAAGCCATGATTAATTCAAAGAGATTAATAAAAATCAAAAGGTGCGGAAGCATATACTTGAATCCATTGAGGAAAACCTAATTAGGGTTTTGATGATCTTCTAACCTTAGGGTTTCTCCCTTATGGATCTCTTTAGATGGGGATAAGAGAATGAGAGTGGCTAACCCTAGATTAGGGACCATAACCCCATATATATAGGTGTTGTACATTTATAATTTGACCCCTCATCAAATTAACTAGATTAGGGACCATAACCCCATATATATAGGTGTTGTACATTTATAATTTGACCCCTCATCAAATTATAATTACAATCTGGTATCTGCACATATAACCCCATGATTTATTTAAATACCCATTAACCCAAATTGATTAATCACTTTAAGTGGGTTATCCTTAAAGATAGCAATACACATTGATTAATCATATGTGCCCACAATTAGATTTAATTAGATTTAAATCCAACAATCTCCCACTTGGGCACCATATGATTCCTTAAATTGTGTATAACCTTATGAGCTCAAAATTGCTATCACTGAAAAGGTATTTCCGAACAATCTCGTCCATTGACTATATCAATATAGGATCAAAGCGGCCTTCGTCATATTTATCGTGACTCGACCCATCAATGGTCACATATACTAATACAATCAAACAACATAGATCGATCATGGATGTGCAGCATGAAAAATTACATGCAATGTGATCAGTACATGTCTATTTTCAACTGGTCCTACTTTAGTGAGGTCAAAACCAAACATAATGTAACAGAGTGTCTTAACTAAATACTTTATTCTGATCAAATAATACAACCAAATACAAAGCACCAAAAATTACGAACTCCTACTAAATCATGGTATCCTCTAATATCACCACACTCATATGAGCGGTGTGCTCATGAAAGACCTTGGGTGGCAATCCCTTAGTAAGAGGATCTGCTATTATGGAGTTTGTCCCAATGTACTCTATGGATATCTGTCCACTCTGTACCCTTTCTTTCACAACCAGGAACTTAATGTTAATATGTTTTGACTTAGTTGAGCTTCTATTGTTATTGGAATATATTACTGCGGATTTATTGTTATAATATAACCTTATTGGTCTTTTCACATTTTCCAAAATGCGCAGTCCCGTGACAAAATTTCACAGCCATAGTGGAGGAAGCTACAAGTATTTGTTTGACATTTTTCCATGATATAGCTCCTCCTGCTAATATATAAATATAGCCTGATGTAGACTTCCTGCTATCTTGGCATCCAGCAAAATCAGAATCAGAGTACCCAATGACCTCCAGCTGTTCTGATTTTCTGTATGTGAGCATATAATCTTTTATTTTTTGAAGATACCTCATAACCCTTTTGACTGTTATCCAATATTCCATACCAGGGTTGCTTAAGTATCTGCCTAACATCCCAACAATGTATGTAATCTCTGGATGCATACATACCTGAGCATACATTAGACTTCCTATAGCCGAAGCATAAGGAATCTTCTGCATTTTCTAATTTTCAAGGTTGCCTTTAGGGCACCGATTGAGACTAAACTTATCTCCTTTAGCCACAGGGGTGTCTCCTGGTCTGCAGTCTTACATGCCAAACCTTTTAAGTACTTTATTGATATAACTCTTTTGTGATAATCCAAGAATACCCCGAGAGCGATCTCGATGTATTTGGATTCCTAATATAAAAGAGGCGTCCCCAAGATCTTTCATCTCAAAAATGTTTGATAGAAATCTCTTGGTTTTGTGTAACATGCCTATATCATTAGTGGCAAGCAATATGTCATCGACATATAGAACCAGAAAAATATACTTACTCCCACTGAACTTGTGATATACACAGTCATCAACAATGTTCATCTCAAAACCGAACGAGATAATTATTTGTTGAAACTTGTAATACCATTGACGAGGAGCTTGCTTGAGTCCATAGATGGATTTCTTTAATTTGCAAACCATATATATTCTTTGGGTCTCCTGACACAAAGTTTTCTGGTTGCACCATATAAATCATCTCATCAATATCGCCATTGAGAAATGCAGTCTTAACATCCATCTGATGTAACTTAAGATCATAATGAGCAACAAGTGCCATGATTGTTCTGAAAGAGTCTTTCGATAAAACCGGAGAGAAAGTCTCTGTATAATCAACGTCTTCCTTTTGAGTAAAGCATTTAGCTACAAGATGTGCCTTATACCTCTCCACATTACCATTTGTATCCTGCTTGGTTTTAAAAATCCATTTACAACCAATTGGTTTTGCACCTTCTGGCAATGGGACAAGTTCTCAAACCTTATTGTCTTGCATAGACTTGTACTCTTCATTCATGGCATCAATCCACTGTTGAGAGTTAGAACTTTTCATGGCCTAAAGGAAGTTGATTGGATCATCTTTCAACATTCCATTACTTTCCTCATGTTCTTGGAGAAATACAATATAATCATCTGAAATAGTATTTCTCCTTTCTCTCGTGGATCTCCTTAATGACACTAGTTCTTGAGGTTGTTGAGTTTGTTCTTCTGGAACAGGGAGTTGTTCAACATTGTCATCTTGAGGTTTCGGATTTACTTCTTGAGCAACAACAAGTATAGTAACCTGAATATTGTTAAAAGTAACTGTATCGATTGGATCTAAAACCAATTCCTCCTCAAAAACAA